TTGCTCGACCAAGCCTTGTTTGCGGCCGGAATATGAAAACATATTTTAAATTTACTGTAAAAAAATAAAATGGCAGCATCGAGTGATGACTGTCGCCCTCCGACTTTTTTCTCCACTGTCGTCGGTAAACTGCACAGCGGACTCCGACCTGGCCGACAATGGAGGGCAGAGCACGACGAATTCGGCATTAACACCATGGAGCTTTCGATGCCCCCTGCTCGCCTCGATGCTCACGTCGTCCCTATTGTATGGGAGCTGCAAACAATGGGATGAGGAGCTGTCACACGGTGCCACACTCACCGCGCCCCTGACTTGCCTCCGGTCAACTGAGGCTGCTCTCCTGCTGATTTCGCGACTGCATCTGACTCGGAGTGCTTGGAAAGCACTGTCCGGCGGTGTCATGTCTCCCATCCCCATTTCGCCGCTGAGTGCGAAACGGCAGCTGCTGACTTGGTGGTCTCCGGGTTTCTCACGTTTCTGGGGGGGTCTCGATCCTCGAGTGGTAACGCAATCGACACATTCATAGTCCGGCGCCTCGGTCAAGCTTCGCCTGTCGAAAAGAAAGCCCTGTTCACCGAGGCTTGACTCGCTTAGGTGTATCGAGGCTTGCTCTCGCCTGTTCACAAGGACAGCTCCCTGTCGCCGTTTTCCTCCTCCGTAGTAGATGTGCACCTTTTTTGCGTTGCCCCCCTGCTGACAGCCCTCGTGCTGCCCGAGCTTGGTCCTTCCGTGTTCCTGACAGCTTCAAGGTTTCATGTTCCTGCTGCTGTGCTTAAGCGAGGTTGCAAAACGTGCGCATGTTCCAAGCATCGTCGTCGGAATCTGTTAAAAGGAGCACCATCCTTTTCTTGCATGTCTCAATCCGGAACCCCTTGACCCACCTACCAGTCTTGCCTGTTCGCCCCACTCCAACGACATATCAGTCACCCGTCCATCGACATTGCTCCCCTCTTGACTATCATGTCCCATTTGTCCATCCTCTCCGCGCCCCTTCCCGACCTCACACACACCACCAAGGACGACATCTTCCTGGCATCGTCACACGCTTCGACGAGCAGACACACCCTCGCCATCCCCGACAGCTCCGTTCGACCGTCGCGCTTGCGCTCCGACAGCATCCATCCCACTCAGAGCGGCGCCATCAGCCTGCCTGGTTCTCCGTGCTCGTCTTCGTTCCCGCAGCGACCGGGCTTCCGCAGGGCTGCGACGAGTGCGGCAGTGAGCACGATCAGCACGGCCGAGTCGCGCTTCGACGAGCTGCACTACTCGCAGACGTACTTCTCGCGCAGCACGTTGCTGGTGTATCCGGAGTCGGAGAGCACTGTGCGCGCTGTGAGTGGCGAGGTGGGTGCAGAGGAGGATATCCGTGAGCTGCTGCTTGCGTCGTCGGACGAAGAGTCGTCGGCACCACCGTCGACGCCGGGCATCGACAGCTCGAGGATCCCGCCTCGTGGATCGTCCGTTTCGCTAGCCAGGGCCAAGCAGTCTATGGACTCGGAAAAGTCGGTGCTCTTGTTGCCTGAACCAATTACTCTCTTGGCGCCACCTACTGCGCAGAACCACGAACGACGTACTGGGTGGGTAGGCTTTCTTTCACTTGGCTTTGATTGAACTGAAGACGAACATGGCACTGACTCTTCCATCTCTTTGTTTTCGCGAACAGAAAATGTCTCACTCAAGTTCAGAGCTGGCTGGCGAAGCTCCCCGCACGAGCATAAGCAGCTACCGCGATGACCACTCCATCCGCTCGGGCTCCACCTCGACCGGCTCGGCGTCCAAACGACGCTCCAAGATCCTGATGAAGATCATTCCGTTCGCGCGCGAGACGCCCGCGCCTCCCGCCGCCGACCCTAGTCAGCGCTTTGGCACGTTCCCCCGTGTGCGCAGCAAAGACGTCGACGAGCCGGTCGAAACGCTCGCGGCGCGCTTCTGCGACCTTTCCACGTCGGCGCTATCACCACCAAACTCAGCATCGAGTGTCAACTCGACCTTCTCGCTGAGCAATGGCTCGACGCCGGCGACGTCGCCCGAGCTGTCGCTGCCGGACCTCCCCAATGGACGCGGGTCCGGCAGCTACGGCCGGCGTGCGCGGTGTCCGCGCCGACCGTCGTCGCGCGACTCGGTGCGCAGCCTCTTCTCGATGTCGTCGGGCCACCAGACGACCGCACCCAAGCCGATCACGGCCGAAGAGTCGGAATGGGAGAAGGTGCTGCAGGACGCCGAAAAGCGCGCCTCGTGGCAGAGCAGCATCAACCACCGTCCGCGCCAGCACACGCCGTCGACACCCAACCCGCACGCTCGGATCGCGTCGTACCAGATGAGCTGGCCTCGAAGCGGGCCGAGACCAGCCTCGGCGCAACAGCACCAGCAGAACGGTCTGCTGCTCGAGCACATGTTTGTGGATGCCGGTGATGACGGGCAGTACGGGCGGGGTAGCTACTCTGCGGTTTCGGCGGGAGGTGGGGAAGGGTCGTGGAGTTTGCCTGTTTCTGTGGCGGGGAGTCGACATGCTTCGGTCGCGGATGGCAGTCTTGGTCATTCAAGATCGATGCAGTTTGCGTTGGGCGATGAAGGCGAGCAGGGCCGGTTCGGGACGCTGCCACGGGTCAAGTCGCGACGGCCCAGCGCTACTGCGGTGCGAGGAGACCCAGCTCCGTTCGAGCTCAAGTCTGCACCGCGCAACGCTGCTGTGCAGGGAACGTCCTCACTAGGCCGAGCGACGCTGCGGAAACGCGCGGTGCCCGACGCGGCATCCATGTGGCAGGTGGGCCGTCGACGCTCGTCCGGCCTCGCACCGCCCCTCAGCGCGACGACGCGCATGCCCACAATCCCGCAAGGCCACTCGCGCGACTCGTCGCTCGTCGACGAACCCCCCACCGACGACCCGCCCTGGCTCGGCATCGACCCGTACGCCCAACCCTGCTACCGGCAGGACAGCCTCACCCCACCCACCGATGGCGAGTACCTCCCCTTCCGCTTCTACGCGCGCCGCGAGTCGCAGGACGACC